CCCTTCTCCCATCCCATCCACCCCTCTAGGTTGTCCCAGAGCCCTGGGTTGAGCTCCCTTGCATCATACAGCAAATTCTCACTATCTATTTTACATACAGTAATATATGTTTCAATGCTACTCGCTCAGTTCGTCCCACCCTTTCCTTCCCCCTGCTGTGTCTACAAGCCTGTTCCCTACATCTGTGTGTCTGCTGCTGCCCTACAAATAGGTTCATCATTACCATTTTTCTAGAGTCTGTATATATGTGTTTTTACAGATACTTGTTTTTCTGACTTACTTTACTCTCTAACAGGCTCTAGGTTCATCCACCTCACTTAGAACTGACTCAGATTTGTTCTTTTTTATGGCTGAGTAATACTCCTTGTATATATCTATCACAACTTTCTTTATCCATTCGTCTGTCAATGGACATCTAGGTTTCTTCCATGTTCTGGCTATTGTAAACAGCACTGCAGTGAACACTGGGGTATGTGTGTCTTTTATTTTTAAGGGCTACAGTTCAGTTCAGTCGTTCAGTTGTGTTCAACTCTTTGTGACCTCATGGACTGCAGCATGCCAGGCTTCCCTGTCCATAACCAACTCCTAGGGCTTGCTCAAACTTATGTCCATCAAGTCGGTGATGCTACTGACATCATTTAAGGGCTTATGTGACATAAAAGAGTTAATTCCTATCATTATCATCTGAACACATGCTACTAAGTTGCTTCCGTCATGTCCGACTCTGTATGACCCCATAGACAGCAGCGCACCAGGCTCCCCCGTCCCTTGGATTCTCCAGGCAAAAACACTGGAGTGAGTTGCCATTTCCTTCTGCAATGTATGAAAGTGAAAAGTGAAAGTGAAGTCGCTCAGTCGTGTCCAACTCTTAGCGACCCCATGGACTGCAGCCTGCCAGGCTCCTCCGTCCCCATGGACTGCAGCCTGCCAGGCTCCTCCGTCCATGGGATTTTCCAGGCAAGAGTACTGGAGTAGGTTGCTCTGAACACATGGGAGGTACTAAAAATGATTATAGAATCAATGGACAATTATTTGTGGAATTTTTTCTTCTTAATTTTCTTTTCCCCTGTTCCATGTGGCATCTTAGTTCCCTGACCAGGTAATTAATGCATGCCCTGGGAGCACTGAGTCTTAACCGCTGAACCACCAGGGCAGTCTTATCTTACGGAATGGGACCTCATTGGTCCCATTTTATTATTCTGATTTAAAAACTGGAAGCTTTTCATCTTTGGGATTATGGATTTTTCTAAACCTCTGACCCTCTCTTTTTCTGTTACCATCTCTAGCTGGTTTGGGATAACAGCCTCTCAAACCCTATTCAGAGTGTGGACTAGGTGTTTGGGAATGGGGTGATGTGAGGGGCTCTCATCATTGCAATCCTTTTGCAGTTGACAATTTGTTTTTTCTTTTTACAACCTAAGATACTTTGTGACTAATCATGTCTGATTAAGTTTTATTCTTTCTCTACCAAATTCTCAGACTTGTCCCAAATTTTGAGGGGAAAAAACTGACTAGTTACATTTCTTCTGCCCCGCCCCCCCCCCAAGCCCTGTGCTTGAATACAATGAAGTCACTTTGTTGAAGGATTAACTTTATATTACATTCTTGCAGAGTAGATGTATGTCCCTAAGGTACAGCTACCCCCACTGATGAAAATAAATATACCATTCTTTATGATTCCTCCCCGTTACCCTCTCTGTTGATTTTCAGAGAGTTTATGAATAGTCACATATTTATACAACTGGCCTAAAGTATACTACTTATTTTTCTTATGGTCTGTAATAACCTAGGCAAGGTTATTAAAGGGTATACAGACCCCTTTTAAGGCAAAGTTTCTTATGTCATTACTTTATACAAGCAGGTCAGATTCCATCTTGGGAACAATCTCTTGCTCTTAACCTTTTTCTCTGATTATAAAAGTAATATATGTTCATTGTGGAAAATGTATACAATGCACAGCACAAAGAGAAGGAAGAAAAGCACTTTAAGACTCGCTTCTTAGAACTACTGTTAGGCAGTTTATACACAGAAACCTTTTCTTTTTTCTCTGTATATATTCATTAAAAAAAAAAAAAGTAGCCATATGGCAAAATGCTTCTGTGATCTGCGTCTTGGCATAGCAATATATTTTATGCCACTAAATATTTTTTCCTATTTTTTTCCCAAAGCATTACTTTTGAAGACTCCATCATATTCCTATGGGTGTGCCACAATGGGTTTAGCCATCCCCGTCCCTAGACTGTTAATCAGTTTTCAGAGTTTTATTTTTTATAAGTAACAATCTTTATCAGATGGCCCTTCTCACTCAGTAATTGGTTTAATACTTTTCTTTAGTCATTGCAGTCAGAGAAGTCATCAGGCAACTTTGAATTGAGACAATGAGCTTTGCTTACATATCTTTAGTGTTATCTTTGTTTACAGCACTGGACAATGCCATTGAAATATTCAGTACCTAAATTGAGGACAGGTTAATAAAAAAATATGAGTGTAGAGCAAATCATAAAGGCATAGGAAATAAATTAAAAGCCTTTGTCCCTCTACCTAAAATATTTCCCCTCACATAGCATACTTCCATAGACTAGATGCTTATTTTTCTTTGAATAATGAGTTTAATATATCTAATTCAATTACTGTTTGTGGCAGCCGCATGACTTCTCCTCGGCTCTTTAGCTATTAGTTCCATATGATATTTGAATCAGTTCTTTTAATTGTGGATACTAAATGTCAATCATTCTGCTGTGAGTTGGTCCTGTAGTCAGAGAAATACATCCTCCCCCCGATACATCAGACAGTCATTCAGTTAACCATGAGTTTTTTGACACAGTAGGAATTAATTCATTATGCAAACAACTGAAGGGGTAGGTCGACAAGTCAAGTTTTATTGGTGGCTTACACTGAAAAATAAAACCAAGAATTAGGCTTTTCAGCATGCTGAACTATATCTTTAGGTATTAAAATGATACGTTTAATTGCCTTAGGCAGTCTTTATGGTTAAACATCTTTGCTGGCAATTAGCATTATGGGTGGGAGATAGTTATGATATACAACTTAACCTAGGTGCTCATTCCTGTTGCTCTTGTGCATTTCTTGATTAAATATTGGGGATTTTATGAGTCACAGCTTCCCCACATAAAGAATTCTATGGCTTTTTCTCTACAAGTCTAATTTGAAAAAAGAATTCTTCTCAAGGGTTTAGAAAGTAATTCATAAAATGGGAGGAATAATAAATATTATGCCTTAACTCACATACTAGTATAGGGAGGTTTGGTTCACCTGGGTGTAATTTTAGTTAATTTCCACAAGAGACAGATTGAAAGTTTACCATTTGGAAGTGGTAGTAGGGAGGAGAAGAACGTGGGAGAAATGGCTAAATCTCATATTTGCAAAAATGATTACATTATCTTAAATGAAAATGCTGCTCTATTAACAACTTCAACAAGCACTTGCATTTGGGTAAAAGAAATCTTCTTAATAAAAAGTTACCTGAAATTCACTCCAACTTAAATACACAAGTGAGGAAAAAGTACTTACTCTGATTTATATGTCTTTTGGAGGTGTAATTATTGGCTTTTTACTCACCTATGTAAAACAATGTACTTTTGTAAATGGATTTCTGGCCACTTTATGCAGCCTTTTTTCCCTTCATTTTTTTTTTCTTACATAAAAAGTAAGCACTGTCAATCAAGGAATTTTAAGGTTTATTTCCTCTTTAGAAATGATTGATAGCCTTTTAGATTTACAAGTTGACAAGTTAAAGGGTTCTATTGGTATAATTATGTACTAAATTCACAGTCTTTCAATTTAAATATCCTTTTAAAACCACAAGATTATCATACCTGTATTTTGAAAAGTGGGCCAGTCAGTTTGGGTTGGTATACAAATTGCTTCCATTAGCCTTGGGACCTATTTGAATTTAATACAGTTTTTTGAAGTTAGCAGTAGTATGAATCTTAGTTTTAAAATTTAGGTTAATGGAAATGCATTTTAAATAAAGCATGTGGCACCTTGTTTTCTAAATGTATGGCAAAATGTCAGAACTACAAAGACTGTCTTTTTATTCAGTAAGGGAGAAACTATGTGTTTGAATACTTTGGTTACACTAAAAATAAAAGAACAAACCCCCACACCCACCCATTACTTAGAGGAGATAAGGGGTGAGGTAGAGGATGGAGCTGCCATCTTTTTCTGGCCAGGCAAGGAAGGCTGGAGATATTTCATATCTTGGGGAGGAACTTTGAAAACGATCTACCAGAGTCCACTTTGTGGCAAGTTGAATTTAAGGATGCTTTGAAGAAAGTGTCATCAATTAGGGTACAGAAAGGCCCACTATTTCCAAATATTATGCTCTTCTTTTACTCTCTTTAAAAATTCATCTCGGAGACCCAGCTGTTCTAAGATAGTTGCTCCATAGGGGTTAGCCTTTTCCTGAAATAATATTGATGTTGGTGCATCAGTCTGTCATCTTAGATGTGAGGGTGTCATATCAAGGGCATTTTCAATACCTGTCTCTTTTTGGAGTCTTCCAAGGGTAGCATAGGCTTTGCGTGCTGAGAAGAGCCAGTCTCCTGTGTCCGTTGCCACACTCTTGCTTAATTGCCACTACTGGCATTGAGATCCTCTATCAGCTGAGGGCCACTCAATATTTTGTAGCTAAGCAGATACTTTTCCTGTTTATGACTGTAAACACCCTTGGACAAACCTTCTAGTGTTTTAACTTTACCTTCAACAATGTAAGAAATATAGAATTTGGCCAGAAAAGCAGAGTTCAGGACCTGCTTCTCATGTTCTTTAGAGTGAGTCAGTCCCCACCATGGTAAAAAGCAGGAATAGATGGTGGAAGTGTTCAACAAAAGGGATCATCTGTCCATCATTTTATGATCTAATTCAAAAGTATCAATGAAACCTTGGACTTCCCAGTTATTTCCACACCGTAAGTGCTACAAATCATATGCTGCTTTATTTCCTGAAATTGTTCTAATTGTATGACTTTTTCATCGCAGCACTCAACGAACCCACCATTGATTATGGTTTCCAGAGGTTACAGAAGGTTATTCCCCGGCACCCTGGCGATCCTGAGCGTTTGCCAAAGGTAGGATACCTTCTCTTTGGTTTGTAGTCTCTGGAGATGTGGGCTTGGATGATTGGCAGAAAACTTTGCTACTGATAAAATTTCATAGAGAAGCAACTCAGTATTTCTGTGCCTTGTGTATTTAGTACAATAAGGTAAGCAGTAATCAAAGTAATAAGCACTCATGTGCCAGGTAATGTGGTACTTATTTGTACTTGGGTCATTGTACATACATGCTAAGTTGCTTCAGTCATGTCTGACTCTTTGCAAACCCAAGAATGATAGCCCACCAGGCTCCTCTGTCCATGGATATTCTCCAAACAAGGATATTGGAGTGGGTTGCCGGGCCCTCCTCTAGGAGCTCTTCTCGACACAGGGATCAAACCTGCGTCTCTTAGGTCTCCTACATTGTCAGGTGGGTTCTTTACCATGAGCGCCACCTGAGAAGCCCAGTGTGTCATTTCTTCCTCTCAAAAACCCTTGGAGATTGGTACCATTACCACCTCTATTTTAGAGAAGAAAGTAACTAAAGAGAGGTTAAATCAATTGCCCAAGGTCACACAACATGTAAACTGCTGAACTGAAATTCAGATCTACAAAGCCTGGCTCCAAAGTCCAGATTGTTAATCATTCTATCATATCATTTCTCAAAAAGAAACAGAATATTGCTTTCTTCCCTTAGGACAATCATTACTTATTCCTGGTGAGGGGACAGCTAGAGCTCAAAGGAAAACATATTGGCAGATCTTGCATTTGAGTCACTGAGACATGAGCCTCTTCCCTCCAGAAACATCCCACCTAAGACACAATTGGGAGAAGTTAAACAGACATTCCAGTCAGAGCATATATGGCATACAGTGATCTGTCATTAATTGCCAGTGCAGAAAAAAGGAAATGCATGTCTGCTGGTTTCTCTTCTGTACTGTTGTCAGTGTTGAGATATTCCCATCTCTGTACCCAAGGAAGTCAGGCCTTGTGTAGGAGATATTGCCATATACAACACCATGCATAACAGAAAACAATAGTCACATTTAACAAAAGGACAACCAATGCTGTGTGAGGATCAGAGGAGAGAATGGTAAATGCTAAAGAATGTCAAAGGGCAGGACGATGCACAGTGGAATTTCATTGACTACACAAGCCATAGTAAGTCTAGAGATATGTCATCTCCAGGTCTGTTTCCCCTCATAAAGCACTTATAAAAATGAAACTGGCATCCTTCCTAGCTCAGCAAACTTCTTTAGGTGATCAGTTCATCGTCACGTCTTACCTGTGGGGTCTGCTACATGGCGGGGGGTGGGCAGGCAGGGCCACCTGTCAGAATGGGCCTGGTCCAGGAGAAAGCTACCCCACCCCCTGAAACTGATGCACAGATATGAGGGGCTGGCAGGGTGGTGAGGGACCCTACCTGCCGGAAGACAGGAAGAACTGTGAAGCCAAGTCTGTCCTCTCCTAAGCCTGGGAGGAACTACAGAGCCTTCAGTCTCAGCCCTGAGTTCCCATTGCAATTTCACCTCCACTGGGTGCTGTTCACCTTAGAAAAACTTCCTGCGAGCATTTCACTTGAAGAAGAAACCCTGTGATGTGTCAGTCTGTTCAGATCCTTGTCTTTGTAAGGGGCCTCCACCTTACACCTCCTTCCCTTTCACCCTGACTTATTCTCGGTGAGCAATTAGAGAATCTAAGAGTAATAGACATTCAGAAAACTAAGATCATGGCATCTAGTCCCATCACTTCATGGGAAATAGATGGGGAAACAGTGGAAACAGTGTCAGACTTTATTTTGGGGGGCTCCAAAATCACTGCAGATGGTGATTGCAGCCATGAAATTAAAAGACGCTTACTCCTTGGAAGGAAAGTTATAACCAACTTAGCATATTAAAAAGCAGAGACATTACTTTGTCAACAAAGGTCCGTCTAGTCAAGGTTATGGTTTTTCCAGTGGTCATATATGGATGTGAGAGTTGGACTGTGTAGAAAGCTGAGTGCCGAAGAATTGATGCTTTGAACTGTGGTGTTGGAGGAGACCCTTGAGAGTCCCTTGGACTGCAAGGAGATCCAACCAGTCCATCCTAAAGGAGATCAGTCCTGGGTGTTCATTGGAAGGACTGATGCTGAAGCTGAAACTCCAATACTTTGGCCACCTCATGTGAAGAGTTGACTCATTGGAAAAGACCCTGATGCTGGGAGGGATTGGGGGCAGGAGGAGAAGGGGACGACAGAGGATGAGATGGCTAGATGGCATCACTGACTCGATGGACATGAGTTTGAGTAAATTCCAGGAGTTGGTGATGGACAGGGAGGCCTGGCGTGCTGCAATTCATGGGGTCGCAAAGAATCAGACACGACTGAGTGACTGAACTGAACTGAAGAGTAATAGTGACCGATCCTCTGCTTCTGCAGCATAGGTGTGCCATGGAGAGAATTGTCTTTAGTTTCCTTTGCCTGGCAAGAACCTAGCTCCCATGCATTTCCTATGGGAAAATAATTGATAATTTCATAGCATAAGGATGTAAATATCACAACCATAGTGTATCTTTTTTGATAAAATAAAAAAAAAATAAATAAATAAATTTTAAAATAAATAAATAAATTAAAAAAAAAAAAAAAAGGATGTAAATAATGTGTGTCCACCCAGTGGTCAGTACCTAAGGTTTGTTTCTGAGTGATAGAAAGATGTCATGAGTGCATAGCAGATTCTTCCCATTGTTTCCATTTGGGAACCATTTTCACTTTCATTCGGCATCTCTCGAGTCTGCTGAAGGGACTGGAGAGTCAGATTGGGCGAGGTGGAACTCAGAACCATGGCACCTCTAGCTCTGTCATCTGGGTCAAGATTCCTTTTTGCCCCCAAATTCTTTACCACTCTGTGTCTCAATTTCCTTCTCTGTCAAATGAAGATAGTAATATTTCCTTCTTTGGGGGGTTGCCTTTATCACTTATTTATCACTCAACAAAAAGGTAGCTATGATTATTTGCCAGCTGTGAGAATGAGACTCTGACTTTGGAGAGTCCTCCTAACCAATCTCTGCCACTCAGGAAATCCCAATCTGGGTCAACAGTGGACTGTATGCTTTATCTTCTGTGCCTCAGTTTCTTCATCTATAAAATGGGGGTAAAGTAACCATGCAGACTTTACTGGGATCACATCAGGATAAAAAGAAGTAATCCTGTGTGTTACACAGTATAGTTTCTGGCCCACCACTGCCACCCTATAAATATTTACTGAAAAAACAGGAGACAAATTTGGTTTAATGGTTGAGGTCTCTAGCTCCAAGCAGTTTGTTCATAAAGAAAGGAGAGAAACAGGAATATATGGTTGAGTTTTGTGTATTTGCTTTTAAAAACATCTTCACGGTTGTACATCACGTTCAGAAACATTGAACAAATAGCCCAGGCACGTGTCACCATGTCCCTGGTGGCCTGATGGTGAAATTCCCAGCCCTGCTTTCCTGGGTTTGGGAAGAGTAATCAAGGACACAATGGGTTTGTGTGTTAAGGAAACACTCCATAGCTTGCATCCAGCCTCTGCGCCGTGCAAGGGCTTTGGCCGGAGCCCACCCCAGGAAGCTCTCTCTGTGACTCAGATCAGAGTGGTGTCCTCTTGGCTCTGAATGTGAAGGTGGAGTGAGAGTTCAAGAGCAGGGTCAGGAAGTGGCGGATGGAGCCAGCACGAGGTATTCCTGTGGACCTGGGAGATTTATAGTCCCGCTGTCCATTGTTTGAGGGATGAAAACGGGCTCCGCCTTTCTTAGAATCGTGGTCAGTGTTTGTCAAACAGGAGTGTTTCAGTGCGCCGTGGACCACACACCTTAAAAAACAAACTCCGCTTTATTAAACCCATGTGTTTGTGAATAGACAAAGCTAGATTCATACAACCACCCACATATTCTGTCAAATGAAACTGCTCCAAAGACCAAGCAGACAGCTTTCCATAATAATATGCCTTTGTATACTGGCTTGAGCTTTTTCAAAGAACTTGTACATGCTTTGTTTTATGGGAGCCCCTCTTGTGAGAGAAGTCGGGAAAGCAGACCTCATTCCCATTTACCAAATGAGAAAATGGGAGCAAGTGGGAATCCTTCTCTGTAGATGATTTTTGTCCCTGAAAGCTACCATCACGGATAGTTGCCATACACACCAATTTAAAATACTGTCACTAAAAAAAATAAAACAAAATAAAATACTGTCATCATGCAAAGCCCAGGTGTGCACGTGGAGAAGGGCAGGCTGAGGGTTTCCAGCTGCAGCATTCTCTTCTGTCATACAGATGTGCCTTCCTCTCTGGATCCTGGCAGGAGGGAGAGGAATTTTGACCAACTTTGGGGTGAAAGTTGACTTCTGTTATGTGGAGGTGAGAGGGATGGCGAGTGGTCACTCAGAAGCGCTGAGATGCTGAAATGCAGGAGGCCATCCAGCAGTGTTGGGCAAGGAGCTAGCTGTCTCTGTTTTGAAGGCCAGAGGTGTCTCTGTCCCTTCAGCTTGCCAGCTGTCTTCCTGAGTGATCCGTGAGCATTAGGACAGAGGCGTCACGCTTGGCCGGCATTCGCGTGTTTGCGGTGAGTCCCAGGAAATAGGTAACATGTACATCGTGCCTGCAATGTGCCTGGCATGGCTTTATCAAGGTTTCTGAAAAGCACAGGGGTCAGGAGGGAGGTTCCCAGGTTAGGTGGACGTGGATTTTGAAAACCACACGTGCTGTCTGTGCACGGACTCACTCTTCGCAGACTCAGATTCCTCCTTTGTAAAGCAGCTGCCCCACAGTGCAGCTGTTGGGTGTTAATGAGATAATTTATGCAACGGGGTCTCTCGGGCGGATAGCAAGACTTCAGTATATGGGGACTATTATTCCTGGCAAGATGGGTACACCCCACATCACAAGGTCAGAGTTTCCAGAGGGCTGGCGGTGTGCCACTCACAGCAAGCACATGGGAAAATTAGGGTTTGCACGCAGGGCCTCGGGCCTCACTGCATCAAGTTCCCATTTCCCTCCAATTCTGGAAACCCAAGTAATTCTGCCT